GATAATACCTCCATCCAAAATGTAAGATTGTATTTGACTCAAATTAGTTTTGTTCCTAATGTCATTGTTTTTCTTAAATTACATTAATTTTTAATCTTGACTTGTTAAATATCCTACTAGTTGACCAGATGTGTGTCACCGGCATTGAGTATAAGGTTCCTAATGCAGCTAGATTCATATGAGTCATTGGTAACAAAACTTATGATTTAAATCACAAACCAACAATATGCAACAGCGCACTTTAGCAAATCAGTATATATTAATATTAAAGGACAACTAATTGATTGATAATAAGAAACCTAAAAGATAATGTTTAGATGATCAAATTATTCCAAAGAATTAAAGGGAGTGGAAGTATGCAAATTGAGCGAGCAATTGTGAATGCTAGCACAATAAGATTCCCGTTGATCGTAATTTTGAACAAAGGAACACAGGCGAAAAAGAATACATAAGAAACTGTTAACATGGGAACAATGTCAAGAAGAATTACTAGCAAGATTCAAGCCTCATACCAATATTGAAGAGATGGATTCTCCCGAAATTAGTTAGTGACACTTGAACCGAGCCCTACACGAGACAAATACACAACGCATAATTAAAGACTGCAAGATATTTTTTTTTTTTCAAAAATCTCGCAATTAAGCATTGAGATCTCTATTTATAACTCTCATCCCTAATTAGTAAGATATTATTCACTCAAAATCAGCCAATTTAACATCATATGACGTCAATTTCAATTTTTTTTTTTCAGTTGCACCCCGATTCAATTCATCATGGTGCAGAAGCTGTTGCTATTTAGTTCATCGTACTGTACTGTTTGCTTTGTAAAGGTATAGTTGTATCATTGGCCATGAGTATTGAAATTTTTTATTCTGGAATGAATTTTTGCCATTTTATTTAAAAAAGCCACCCTGAGAGTTTCAGTTTGAAAAGTAAAGGTCATAACATCGTAACTTATTGTAGCTTGTTTTAGTCATATGTGAGTTTTAAGCATGAAATTGTAGCAAATGTGCAGATTGTCCTTTATTCTTATTATCATTGGCAGGGTGATCCTCTGAGCTGAGGGGAGGGGGCAATTGCCCCCTCCTATAAAATTAATTTTTTTAAAATTAATGATTCTTTAGTATTATCCCCTTCATTTATTTTTTAGTCTCTTATTCAAGGTCTTTTAGGCATTCCCTCTCCCCCCATTAAAAAGTTTTAAATACTTTTGAATCTTAGCAATTGCCCCCAACAATAGTAAAAAGAATCATCATTCATTTATTTGATGTTTGATTCCAAAAACTATTCCTTGCAACCAAAACATTTGTCGACCCCGCCAGGGGGCGCTCCCCCCTTGGACCCCTCCGAATATCAAGTTTTCTTAATATTTAAGAGCCCTTGGTTTGACTTTGGTAGCCTAAGATATCTTTAGCGATCATTCTTTTTGTCTCTTTTTTTGTCGCTATTGATCCCATTTTCTTGTAGTTAAGCGGTTAGCCAAATTCGACGACGACCAACAGTTACTTATAAGTTTACCCTGAAAAATTTAAGGTTGATTCAGAATGCAATTCTACTCGCTAACCTTAGCTAGCGTTTCCTAGTTATGCATATGTAACTATAAAATAACGTCTTTTTTTTAGGCCTTGTAAAATTTGGTTTATGCTACTGTATTAAAGATATATTATGCGATGAATTCAAGAAGGTTGTGTGCAATCGTCTTTTGCTACTGCTGGTGGAGTTGGTACCGCCTTAAGGAAATCAAACTTTGAAGCATCTGCTCTGTTAGTTGCTATCCAAACATGAACCAGCTGAGCAGTGAACATGGGAAATTTGACCATCGATCCTATACAGAACGGTGAATGGGATGGTAATTGTGGAAAAAGAAGAATAAAGTTGGGTTTCATGGCGGGATAGCAATGCGAGTTCAAATTCTGGCTCGCTAAAGCATGGGTTCAGCCTGAGAACTGGGAGATCTTCTCCTATCTGGTGGGTGCTTAATTTCTGGTGATTCTCGACTGGCAGTTGGCGGTGGAACCCAAAGCAACAATCAGGACTAGAAATTTGTGAAACTGCTATATGCTCCAAATCCTTCTAACATACCCCCGCCTTTGGCAACAGTGGTTGAATTGGGCGTTGCAAGAGGGGTGTTTCTGCTTTAATCTTCAAAGAATGAGACATCTCCACAATTCTGTTGTGGACCCCACAAACAATCAACCTGAGGGGTGCTTTCAGATGATGATGACTATGATACTCTAGTGACGGAAGTGTTGATGAGAGTTTTCCGATGAACTATGATTCTGATGCTAGCCAGAGAGTCATGAGACTCAAAAAGGAATAAAAGTGGTTGAAGGTTCTTTGAAAATCTGGATAAGCTGTCGGTGGATGAGATGGGCGACAAACCAGACAATGGCACTGCCCAGCATGCCATTTAATGGTTCCTTGGTGCTTATCGACTGGTCATGATGGCCTCCAAACCCTTGATTGAACACATGCAAAGAACAAAAAAGATCAACAAGACACTAGGCTTCATCGGGAAGCTTGCTCTACTTTGATTGAAAGAGCTCTCGTAGGAGGGGAACTTCAGTCATTCCCAGCTGGTTGAAGCATTGGTTAATGAGGAAGGGCCTACGGGAGTCAACAACTGATCGTGAAATTGTGTGGCCTCCCATGGTGATTGTTATGAACAAAAACTTGAGGAAAATGAGAATGATAAGGTTAAAGTAATAGAGTGGCTTTGATGTAATTCTATTTTTTAAAAAATGATTTGCCATCTGATATCATTTTTTATCATGTAAGTTTCAAGTTAAAATTTATATAACGAACTGCTTTCCTCCAAGTTGTTTCTTTCTTTCTGAGGTTTAATAACCGCTACTTGCAGGCCAATTTTATTCCATAGCGTCCCACCTAAACCCTGGAAGTTTGCTAGATCTTATTCTTTGTTCTTTAATCCTTTTTTTCCATTCTTTCGTGCCATGTCAGAAGGGAAATGGATAGTTTAACTTCATCCAAGTTAACATTAGCACATTGATTTCTTAATGAATCATACTTTAACTCTTTGATGTTGACAGCTTTTTTTCTTGCCAGATTATTGATGAATTTGTTAGACTGGTCATTAGACCGGCCCGCTTCTATGCGAGGTTGGGAACTGAGGCCGCCTCCCAATTGTCCCGCTCGAACCGCAGGAGCCAACAGAAGCCAATTAGGAAGATTTAGAAAGATTTTAGGAGGGAAATTGAAAGTAGGCTTTTTAGAGATTTTCCTTTTGGATTGTATGCATTAAATAGTTTGTTTTTCCAGAGGTTAGCATCTTGAATTTGGCTGAAATTTGAGATCTCTTAGGGTGTTTGGCGCTCTAACTAGGTGATTGGAGATTTGAGAGAGTCGGATCTTCCACTTCAATTGAAAATCCACTTGTTTTCTTGTCTTTTCTTTCATAAAAATTCAATAAAAAAGGGTGTTTGTGTGTTTTATTCATGATTTTCTTTCATTGGTTTCTGAAATCAGATTTCAGCCGAGGCTTTTCCAAATTTCGGCAAGCACTCTCTCTCGGTACCGGAGCAATTTCTTGGCTGAAATAGAAGTCTTCCTTGCTAAATTTTTCTATACTTCGTATCCGATCGTATTGTTTTTGCTATTGGAGACTAGAATTTGCATAAATTTGTTGCTCTTTGCTATTGGAGCCTAAATCCAGGTTCCCATGATAGGAAGAAAGGTAGAAGTGTTGGAAGGGAAGATCGGACAATTCAAAATTGAAAATTCAGATCTCTGGACTCAACTTTCAAATGTCAAAAAGTTAAATTTCAGCCATCCATGAGAAGATAGGATGAAATTTTTTTTAGTCTGAGGATCATGTTGAAGAAGTTGCTCAAGCGCCAATAAAATGACATTTCTGAGCAAGGGAAGCCTCCGACAACTCAGGAAGCGGAGGGAAAACTTTAGATCCAATAAGGCAAAGGGAAGATCAGGAGGGAGACCTTAAAAGGGAAAGAGAGAATACCTCCCTAGAAGCCTGTTCCCAGGGAGGAGCCGGGCATAGGGTATGGTGAGAAGCGTGAGGCAGTGGAGCATGAACAAAGGGGTGTTAAATTTGAGAGGAGAGGGGCGGAGTTTGAAAGGGAAAAGGGTAATTATGACCGAAGGGGGATTGGAATTGAAAGGAGAGGGATTTATTATGATCCAAGGGGTGTTGAATTTGAAAGGAGAATGTGACAATTTGATTAAAGGTTTGGTATGAGGGTAGAAGGGATGATTGAGACACTTGGGGGGAACTATCCCCTTGGGGAATGAGAAATTATGGACGGAACAGAGGGAAAGGAGGCAATCCGAGGGCAAGGAAATTAAAAATGTCAATATTTGAGGTGGAGGATGTGCACGGGTGAATCTACAAAATAGAAAGATATTTAACCATCAATGGGTTGACGGAGAATGAGAGACTGACAGTAGCGGTCATATGTTTGGAAGGGAAGGCTTTGGCTTGGTACTAGTGGAGGGACATGCGACGACCCATACAGAGTTGGAGGGAGTTCAAGGATTGTTTCGTAGAACGTTTCCGAACTGGCATGGTAGAGACTTTTATGAGCAGTTCTTCACCTTAATACATGATGGTTCAGTGATGGAGTACCGGGAGAGACTCGAGTACCCCATGCTAGTCGATTGGACAGCCTTTTTGAGACAATGCTAGAGGGGAACTTAATGAAGAGACTGACACCAGAGATTTGGGCAGTGGTTAGACTAATGAGATCTCGTGACTTGGGAGAGGCTATGGAGCTAGCTCAATTGGTGGAGGATTAGAGGTACTTGGAGAGAGGGATAGGAGGAAGCAGCTCAGGATGTCCGAACAGGAGCACCACCACCTTTCGACACCTTAGGAGTTGACACCGGGTACTCTTTGGGAGATCCTAAAGGAGAAGACTGAAGGAGGAAAGTCCTAGGAACAACTTTAAGAAGCTCACAGAAACGGAGTTACATGAGAAGAAGATGAGGGGGCTCTGTTTCAGATGCGAGGAGAGGTGTACACCTGGGCACAGATGTAAGGATCAAACTTTTCAGGTACTTATCATTTATAATGACGAGAAAATTGAGGATCGTGTTGTCCTTCCACCTTGAGGACAAGGGGCTTTGGGGGGGGGGGGAGGTATTGTTAGAATGGTCATTAGACTGGCCCAGCTAGTCCACACTGGGCCAGCTCGCTTCCACGCGAGTCGAAACAGAGCCCACCTCCTGATTGTGCCGCTCGAACCGTAGGGGCCAACATAGTGGATTAGGAAAGATTTAGGAAGATTTTAGGGGGAAATTTGAAATAGGGGTTGTTTAGGAATTTCATTTTGGATTGTATGCATTAAATAGTTTATTTTTCTAGAGTTAGAGCATCTTGAATTTGGCTAAAATTTGAGATCTCTTAGGGTGTTTGGGCTCTAGCCGGTGGCTAGAGATTTGGGAGACCCGGATCTTCCTCTCCATTTGAAGATCCACTTGTATCTTGTCTTTTCTTTCATAAAACTTTCAATAAAAATGGTGTTTGTATATTTTATTTCTGATTTTCTTATTGTTCGTTTTTTGAAATTGCTGAAATCAAATTTCAGCCAAGACTTTTCCTAAATTTCTGCAAGCACTTCTTATTAGAATTTAAGAAATTGCTACTTTCTGCCTGTTTTTTTTTTAAGGGTTGATAATATATATTACTACTTCCATTGTTATCCACCTACACCTGTGATGTTAGCTTAATCTTATTTCTTAGTTCATCACTTCATCAATCTTCTTTTGTGATAAAACTTAAGTTCTATAGCCATGTAGGAGAGTAGTAGGAAGGCAACAAGACACTTCCTTTCAATAAAGATAAACCAACACCAACAAAATGAAACTTAATAGTAAATAGATATAAGTAAATGATTACAAAATTGTGTAAAGAAACAAACTAAAACTTAAAATTAACTACCCTCAGAACAATCTAGAAAGATCATCTCACATGCAAATCACGAAAATAGAGAATGGTGCTCAAAGGAAAAATCAAACCAGTGGGTTGTCACAGAAATTATGATCCAGATAAAGTCGGGGCTCCTCCGATAAATACCAACAAAAGGGCACAACAACACCTTACCTCACAATATTTGGAGAAGAAATATGCAAGTTGAAGGGAAACTGTGGAGAGAAGAAATAAATAAAAGACCAAGAAGAAGAAATAGGTGTAGGAAGAAAATAGCTCTCAAGTTAGGAAAAAAACCCCAGGTTTGGATTCTTTTTCAGCAACAACAACCTCTTCCAGGAGCAAATTAGCCGTATTTTATAGGAGAAGGCCCAATAGCCCTCATAAATGTGCCACTTAACTAGCCAATACAAGCCAATAAATACAGCCACTTTTTTAGAAGAAAAAACACTATTCTAGGAATCAACAAGAAGGGAAATGAACGGACAACAACTAGGAAACCAAAGCCTACCTGGAAAACCAACAACCAACCAACATGGGAATCCAAATTCAGCATGGGGAACAAACAACAGGTAATCTAAAATCAGCTTGCAAAACCAATAACTAACCAACATGGAAAGAGATGGGCTAAGCCTAATAAAGAAAAAAAGTCCAAAGATTAAATACCCATTTAGCCACCAAGGAGTAATGAAACAAATTCAACATAAGTGGAAAGCCAATGGAGAGAAATTACGTAAGAGCACCAAACCCAAATATAATCATGGGTTGATTTCCATCATTGGGCACATAAAAAAAGTAGTCCAAAATTACATAGCATCCAAAACATCAGAAAATAAAATATACAATATAAAATGATAATCCTTGATTGCATCACTTTGTCATTGAGTCATGGTATGTGTGAAGGACGATGGATTTGTTTAATTATATGATGCTTAAGGATGCTTCAGGGGATCATTATGGAGGTTGAGGTATGATCACTATGGGAGGATGCTCATCTTTGCTAAAGCTAAGATTGGCATATTTGTTCCTACTGATTATATGGAGATGTTTGCTGGTGGCAGATTTCTTTATTCTGTTTAATGATTTGTGTGGTATGACACTATCAAGTGTTTTTGTTTCCATCAACATTAATTGTTGTTTGAATTTTAAATGAACTGGATGTTTGAAACCCAACTTTAATAACATGAATCAAATAATCCATTTTGGTTTTGCATTTCTATTTTGTTTATGTGGGTCTTTAAAAGGATGCTACTCGCGGGGATTAGAATGTAAATGGTATGATCGCACTATCCCATTGGACAAAACGTTTGCATACTTTTACACTTTATGCGGGCAGATCAATGAAAGAACAGATGGAATCATACATATGATTATCCATAGAGAATAGCGGCTTTCGCCTACCAATCTCGATGGATAATAACATTTATAACTCAATAGTCACGAGATTTCCCCAATTAGCTCGAATGAGGTTTATTTAATGTGGGTGTCAGTTTCCCATTAGCACAAGCTCTCGTGATTAATTACTTCTTAAACCTTGACCTAACAGTACACTCGATTAGGGATGCTATTTCATTTTCTTCTCGGTTTGTTGCATAGTAAGGTTTCTAAGTTCTAATCCATAGGGAATAAACCCTTATCTTCATCTTTAGTGAGGATTGAATTTTTAATATATGAAGATTTGATTAAAATTTTGAGTTTAAAAGATTAAATATTGATTTATTTTTTATAGAAGAAGTACATATTTAGAATTTATTAGGATTTAGAGAAGACATATTGAGCAGTGTACAATCT